TTAGGGATGTTAAACTTGCTCGTCGTTCACGAACAGCTCATGTTCGGCTCGTGTTCGGCTTGTTCGTTAAGAAACGAACACGAACAGTGACTTCACAAATAATTTCGAACACGAGTTTATTTAAAACAAACTAAATTTCAAACGAACCGAACACGAACACAAGCTCTATTCGTTCATGTTCGGTTCGTTTACACCCCTAGACATAGCTTGAACATAAACACGACTTAAGCCAAACCTTCCTATTTCAAAAAGCCCAAAGAGCTCATTCGTGAAATGTTTTAGCTCATAAGTATAAAGATTGGGGGTTTCATGCGAATTTAACAAGATCTAATAGCCACATTAACGCATATATAATGATTCAACAAGACTAATGAGTGAATGATAACCTTCTTACCAAATCAACAAACCTAAAAGTCAAATGGTACCCTTAACTCACTGTCTAAGGGTTGAATATTTATATATATTAAATAATGCAATTCCTTAAACTTGATGTTTCCTCTTAGCCTAACTGAGAGAGTAAGCAAACTTTGGATCAACTGGCGTGATTCAGTCTAGCATTGAAAGGCTTTTAGACAAGTTGGCTCAAAACGTGAGTTAGTGAACTCAAATTAGTGATTGCTAAGATGTTTGGTTATCACCAAGATGATTTCCAAAAATCAAGAAGACTCACTCAACTGAGTAGAATTGGGGGCTTATATTACAGATGCAATGAAGGACATAGGTTTTGCACATACAAAGTCGAAATAAATCATATTCATAAGAGAAGCAATAACAATGAAAATAAATTTTATAAGTGAAGTATCTATAATAAAAGAAAATGTGTTTTAAAGACATTTATACCCCGCTGCAACAATAGGTTCTTCAGCGTAACTGTTGACATGCTTTGCAACAACTTCCCATGCTGTATAGAAATCTAACAAGAAGGATGAGGGAACATGTCACTAATACAACTTTTGCAAAAGAGTAAAAAAGAAATAAAGTCCTGTACCTATACTATTAGTAACTTCTTACACCAAATTATTTAACAAATGGAAGTGTTCAACTGAACAACTAAATTGCCACCGCCATCATGATATAATGATATGGGATAATTTTGTGTTTCTGTTTTCCAGAAAAATTGAACATCTTTTCATATATAACTGATCTCAAGATAAAAAAAAGATGTGCTATGTCACTTGTTTAATAGAAATAAGCCAATTACCGTACTTTAAAAAAAAAGTTAGTTTGAAACGGGAGGGTGTAGGAGTATAACAATAACTTAGAATTTATTTTCGTCTGTTCTTCATAGTGGCGCAGGGGATAAACTAATAGTAAAACTTTGTAATATAGCACTTTTAATAAGTTCAAAGGGCACTTAAATGCATCTCTCAATTATGGAAATCATAATAATCATTTTCAAATTCATGATCATAGTTTCAACCTGCAAAAACGTTTAACCACTTCAGGATAGTTCTGTCTAATCCTCTGACCCAACAAGGACCTACTACCAATGTAAAAGTCCTCAAAACTCAGTATAATAAAAAGTAAATAAAAAGTAATAGTAGTGGGGAAAGAATTAACTAGGGAGGAGAAGAAAGACTAAATTGAGTTACGCCATTAGTTTAGCAATCTCTCTATATACTACCAAATCAAAGAATAAGCATACAGAAAAAAGAGAAAAAATGGAAATAATGAGGATCGTGGGATAGGTATTTGCACAGCTATTCCTTGTTGGAACTCATCTAGAATAAAAAATAAATTTAACATACGACAAAACTAATAAAAAAACTCTATAAATAACAAAAATATTGAAGTTTAAAGGGAAATAAAACCTTATACTTAATAGTAATAAAAAACAGCATTATAGCAGAGCTGTAAATGATTTGAGCAGCTGGAACTAAAATAAATAAATAAAAGACAAAAGCTTCCAAATATTTTCAAGGCGTTTTTAAGAGATGTGAATCCTTCATATTATTTGAAAAGCCACCAGCCATTAACCATCTCAAGGTATACCAGTGCTCTTCTTTAAGCCCGACCTATCCATCCAAGCCATAAAGCCATAAAAGAAAAATAAGATCACTTAATATAAAACAAATTGCTCAGCTGCATCCCCTAAACCTTAATGCTACATCAATGTTAGAGAAGTAGAGAATTTCAGTCAAAAGCAGATAGCAGAAGCTAAATTATTATTTGCATTTATCACTACTTTATGGATTGGCGAAATCAAGCACAGTACAGCTTTCAGAGTGATTAGCATAAGAATATTGGTATTGTCAAAACTGCAATATGGCACAAATAGCAAAGCTACTACTACTACAATTAAAAAACATACCAACAACATCAGCTTCACAGAGCGAAGAAAGGCTTTGGAGACCAAGAGCTTTCACAGTGGAATCTTCGCTCTCAATACATGACTGAAAAACATAAAAATTCAAACAATATAAAATAAATATAACGGTTAATATTATGAAATAAGTTTTAGATAAACTATACCGACACAGAAAGTATGAGGTCAACGCCCCTGTCAGGATTCTGCTTGCAAACATCACGGATAGAAGCAGCTACACTTATACAAACCTCCCTCACGGATTCAATATTTGATAGAATTTTTGGATTGAGAACATCCTAAACAAAACAAAGGTTAAAAGTTGTAATGAATGATCTATGGGATAATAAAGAAATTGAAACATCGCACAACAAGAATGACAATCAGTTTTCTTGAACATTAATAGCAAAAAAACACATTTAAGTACCTTCCAACAAAAATTTTTCACTGCTAACTTTACATATTTATGTTTATCCGCAACTCTATTATGCAGACCATTAAATTATGAGCTAATTTACCACTAAATCCACATCACAGTATATGGACAGCTACATCAGCAACTTATATTCCTAGTACGAAAATATATTTCTTAAGAGTAATTTATTTAATAATGAAGGCAACTTCAAGCATAAAAGCAAACTGCGAAGACTTGAGTAATTTTAAAAAAGTTTGATTAATGTTGTGAAGAATTAATTTTAAAAAGATGATATATCCAATACATAAAGCTCCACAAAGTTGAGTTTTGAAGAGTGATGAATATGCAATAGACTAAACAGTGCAAGGCATAAAGGTTCATTCTGTGATTGCTTAACTAAAAGTAATTTTCGCTTGAGAAAAGCTTTCTAAAATAAAAAAAAATGAATAAAAATAAGTTATGCTGGCCTTTAAATAAATCATATTTCCAAAAATACAAATACAACACAATACATAAGTTGTGAAGATTGCAAGAAGTACGTGAAATGGAGACCGACATTAATTAACATTAACTCATATTAATACTTAATATATTTCAACTAACATAAAATGAATCTAAATTAACTTTAAACCCTAGCCTTAAGAGTTTAGTTTGGCTATCTTTAAACAAAATTGCACACATAAAGTCCTCTCTCATCAGCCAAGCGATAAGGTCACCCCCTTCTCCTACACATGATGACCCTCAATGCTCCTCTCTCGCATGCAATTTACCCCTGGATCATCCTCCTCCCGGAAATGGAGAAATCTCGTGCTCGATTTGGTTTCCCTATTTGTCTCTTGCACAAGATCCCATAAAGGAGTGCTTGATGCGCGCTCTTCTTCCTTTGTGCATCATGATGGGTGCACACGGTTCCTCTTTACTTTAGCTCGATTTAGCGTTTCTTCTCCTTCTTCTCTGTCTGAATCCGCAAACAAAGTTGTTAGGCTTCTGCTTCACTTAACATGCCTCCTGCACGATGCCACTTCTGGTTAGCTAAGAACAGCGTGCAAGGCTATCGCTATGGTTGCGCATGCAAGGTATGAAACTTCTTTCTTCTCGCCTTGAATCTAACTCTCGTTCCTGATCCCGATTCTTCCCTTCAATTTAGAAAACCTTTCTGTTTTACCTCCTCACTCTCTACTCAACTGTTCTCTCATTTCTATTCCTTAGTTAGGATGAGGCGTTTCTCTCTTAAAAATGAAACTATTGAGATAATTAACCACTTTGAATCGACTCATCCAATAGAAAAAAAAATATTTTTTTTCAGTTATTACAATCTCCCCTCATAAAACTTCATCCTAAAAATATACATATCATTGCTCTTTTTATGATTATTTAATTTACTACAAAATTCTTACATTTTATATTAGAGTTTTCACGTTATTTATCCTATTGGCTCTTCCAATAGGATTCATATTACTTAATCTAAATCATTCTCTGATACCAATTTTGTCACAACTCGGCACGGGAGTTCGAATTAACCAAAGCGGGAACTGATGATTGGATGGTAAAATTAAATTTCTTTTATTATTCATTTTTAATCACTAATAGATTTAAAACCAATTAAATTGAAAGTGTCACAAAATAAATTAATTTAATTAACAAATTAAAAGTTTACATTTCTATTTGTTGATCACACATTTTGAACATATTACTTTCTCTAGATTCATCTTAATCCAATAACATAAACCTGAAAAATAATAAAAAATTTATGAGTTATCTCAAATAAGCTTGTGGAGTAATCATATCCTAAACTACAGTAACATAGAAAATAACACATCATGTATGTTGATTTTTCATATTTCATTATAGAAAATCATATAATAAACAAATGCATATATTTTTTATATTTGATCAATGGAAATAATCTAATATTCTTTTACATTAATTTTCAAGGTTTAATATTTAACTTTGCTTTTAACTTTCACATCCATCTCAGGAGTGTGTCAAACATAACTAAACACACCCTCTTCCAATATTATCTCATCGGCACAGCGGTTTGTTATCAAGTTTATATGACTCTCTGAGGAGTGAAAATGTCTACTTACCTATGACTGACACTCTCTCATAAGCACAGTAGTTTGTGATCTAAATTGCATAATTATCTTAGGTGATAGGATATCTATACATCTCTGATCGATACTCTTCCGTCGGCATAGCGATTAGTGAAGTTTCATAATTGTTTAAGATAGTAAAAAAAAAAAAATCTACGTGTGCGGTTACATTGGTGTCCCCAACCTGTATTATAAATATATGAACTCTTAGCATGCACAGATAAGCATTCATGTATATAATATTTTTATTTCATTATTCAAAGCATACATTACTTTCTTATGTGATACTTCGCATTCATCTACTCATGAATAAATGTATGTTTCATAGATTCAAAAGCGCAGGCAATAGTCTAATAACTTGATGGATAAATTATTATGCAACTGGTTATGGAAGTCTCTTAAAATGCATACTTCTAAAAGTTATTAAATAATATGTTATACAACCCTATTTAAATCTAAATATCTTGCAAGAACCTATATATGCATGACTGCTATAATTTACATGTCATTCAATAATCTAATATTATATAAAATATAGATTGTTCGTCTAATTAATATGGATTATTTCCTATCTAACAATATAAATAATCTACTATAATATAGATCTCACTGGAATACATCCCTATTTAAATCTAAATATCCTGCAAGAACCTATATATGCATGACTACTTTAATTTACATGTCATTCAATAATCTAATAATTATATAAAATACAGATTGTTCGCCTAATTAACATGGATTATTTCCTATCTAACAATATAAATAATCTACTATAATATAGATCTCACTGGAATAAAGCATTAAAAAAACAAGCATACATTTAGAAATGATAATATTTGTTGAAATTTAAAAATATAATAACTTACATCGATCTTTCACATTTCTTTACTCCTAAGTTTATAACTCTATCAAATAAACAACTATAAAAGAAAATATTATTATCAACAATTTGTCTTGCATTACTTATTTACAATTTTGTTAATTAAAGTTAAACTTCTAAGCTCATTTTTTTAAATAAGATTTTAAATACTTAAATTTAAGTTTAATCATTTCAATTAATTCTAATATAAATAGAAAAAATTTAAACAATTTATTTTTAGATTTAAAACACTAACCTTTCCACACTTTCCCCTCTTTTGCACAATCACCAATCTCAGTCTCCATTGTCATTTAATTCAACACTTTGTAGTACTAAATTTTCTAAAATTAATTCATAAAATTCAATAAAAATGAATACATTTAACTACTTATATTAAAAAACTTATATAATAAAATATATAAAATCTTACCTTGAATACTCTCATCGTTCTACAAACAAAATTTATTCTAATTAATATTTTTTTGCATTAATTAACATCAACTCATTAATATTTAATATATTTTAATTAATATAAAATGAATCTAAATTAACTTTAAACCCTAACCTTAAGAGTTTGGTTAGGTTGTCTCTGAATAAAATTGTACAAATAAAGCCTCTCTCGCCAGCCAAGCAGCAAGATCGCCTCCTCCTGCATGTGATAACCCTCGATACTCCTTTCCTACAAGTGATTCACCCCTGGATCTTCCTCTCACAAGTCGAGAAATGTTGTGGTCGATTTGGTTTCCTTATTCGTCACCTTTACAAAACCACACACATGAGTACTCCATTAGCCCACTTCTTCCTTTGCGTGTCACGACCAGATCACATGACTCCTCTTCTCTTCGGCTCGGCTAGTGCTTCTTCTCCACCGTTGTTCAAACCCGCACGTAGATCGTCAGGCTTATGCTTTCTTGAGAAGCCTCCCGCACGAAGCCGCTACAAGTTAGCCAACAATAGCATGTAAGGCTTCATCAAGGACTGCACATGCAAGATATGAAACTTCCTTCATCCTTCTTTCAACCCTGACCTTAAATCCTGTTCATGATCCTGATTCTTCCCTTTAACTTCAAAACCCTCGCTCTTTTCCTCCTCGCTCGTTGTTCTCTCTATCGTCCTCTCATTTTTATTTCTAGATTGGAATGAAGCATTTCTAACTTAAAAATAAAACTATCGAGAGAGTTAACCCCTCGAATCAACCCATCTCCAAGATAAAAATTATTTTATTATTATTATTATTATTACAAATGCGATAAAGTTGGAGAGTTTGGATTACATGGTGGAGACATTTATGCAGTGTAGATCGGACCATTAACTGCCATCATATCATGAAAAAAGGGTTCCTCTACTTATAAAAGAAGTGTAAGGAAAAATGAAAGATGTAGATCAGAAAAAAATCAAACACAAGGGCTACACTTTTATATCTAATGGGTTGACTGGTCGAAAAGAATACGCATTAATTAATTTTTTGGTTATCTCATCAACTGACACTGTATTTTTGTAGTCAATAGATGCATCTGAACATTTAAATACTACATTAAAGCTTTTTGAAACCTCGGATGCACAAATTGAGAAGAAAGGAGAAGATAATATGCTCGAAATGATCACAAATAATAACTCAAGCTATATTCTTGCAGAATGGTAATATATATTTTTTTAATATGTAAACAGTTAATTTATCAGATAATATGCTCGAAGCGACACACAACAGAACACAATCGAGAAAAGGATTCATGTAACCGACCCCACTTAGTGGAATAAGGACTTGTTGTTATTGTCAAAGTTTACAAATATTTTTTAAATTTATGTGAAATGTTTATGGAGAAGATGGCCCACATATATTAGAAACTTTAAGTTGCTCATTATATTGCTCTGATGTAAGGCATATTCATAAAATAATTGAAGTAAAAAAAATATTATCAAAAAACCCTTTGA